TTGGCTGTTTGAAATTCACCTTTTTAAAACTGAAAATAGCCAAGTTCTGTGAGTTGAACAGGGGTAAAACAGGCGACCCTCAAGCAGCTGCTCTATGGCATCAGTCACACTAGCCACGATAGCCACGCTGCGAGGCTAGAGGAGGAGGGAGGGAAGCCCTGTGTAACATTACTCTCAGCTCTGAGCCATTCTCCTGGGAATCCCAGGATCTATTAAACACAAATGCACAGTGGTGACATGCCTGTGCTGCAGAGCCAGCCCACCCAACTCCAAAGCTTTCAGTGTACAGTCTCTGGCTTAAAGTTGAGACTTCTCCAAACCTTTTCTCCACTGTCTATAACTTTGTCTCTTCTTCTTCTCTCCTGGAGCTGCTGCAGTCGCTTCCCTCCGGCCATACCCCGAACTGGCAGGCTCGGAGCACGTCCTGCTCCCATCCCTTGAGCAGCAGGGACATCTCGTGGAGGACACGCAGGCGTTATTTCAACCCCCTCCTTTTATTTTTGGGTCATGCTTGCCTAAGCCAACAAAGCGTAGCACAGCATAATGCTTTCGGTGGCAGCTTGCTGGGTAGCCAGCACCCAGAGGGGATGACTGGCTTTGGGGGGGCAGCTGGGCAGGGCTGGGGCTGCCCCGGTGGAGGGGGTTGTTTGGGATGCGGAGGGAAGCCTCCAAGCAATGGCTTCACCAGCAGCTCCTGGGACAGCTCATTTTCCTCGGGAGGAAAGGAAACGCTGCTGCCTCTCCAGCACTTCAGGCCCCAAAACAAGCAGTGTGGGCTGCCTGCTTCGCTTTCGCCTAACAGCACCCTCTTTCCTTTAAGGTCAGGGTAAATGTTCCTGTGCAGAAGCTACAAAGACCTTTGTTTCTGTCTTTCTCCTCCTTGTGACAATACCCATCCTGAAGCAAGTATCGGACACAGGTATCCTGAAGGTCACTGCAGTCACCAGCAAAGTTCTGCCCTAAAAGAGTAACTCAAGCTTTCTCATTGATGATCTTTAACATGCTTAGGATTGATGACTGAAGGATAACAGAGCTTTCCTCTCCCTCCCCAGGCAGAGGTTTATGCTCCTGATGTTGACCAGATGCACGTGGTGGACCATGTGAGAGGACAGCCAACTCAGGAGAAGCGCAACGTGCTAGTTGAAAGTGCCAGAATAGCCAGAGGCAACATCAAGGATCTGGCTAAGCTGGATGTCACGGGGCTGGATGCCCTCATCATACCAGGTAGGACAGCATGCGGGGTCTGCACGCCCGAAGCCTTGGGAACAGCTCAGGTGTGACATGAGCCTTGGATGACATGGGAGTCATGGGCTGGAGAGGAACTGGGCAGAGCCACGGGGGAGGAAGATGGGCTGGAAGCAGGGATTGGAAGGACAGATGTCTTCCATCTGCGCTGGCACTGGCAAGCTAGCCTGGACTTTATTAAAAGAGAACAGGCAATGGAAAAGCTTATCCGGGGAGGAGATGGCAGATAATTGCCAATTGAATTATCCTCTGTACCACCTACTGGCCCTTTTTTAACTGGGTGGAAAACTATCCCCTCCCTCTCCAGCATACCCACCTCCTTATCAGGAGAAGAGGCTGGGACAGAGAGGGGGTGACACGGAAGCAGGAAGGGTGGTCAGTCTGGCAATTCATCTTCAGTGGAAGTACAACCATGGGATTTCAGTGGGGTGGATCAGGCCTGGAGCAAGGAGTACGAGACAGGTGAAAACTTGTCAGCATGTTCCACCATAACGCAGAAAAGAGCTCAGGGGTGAAACCAGTACCCAGCAGAGCACCGATAGCTCTCCGCCTCAGTTCTGTATGGAAGCAAGAAAAGTGCTCTGATGTCTCATCTCCTGGCAGTCAGCTCACAAAGGTTCAGCTTGTCTGTTCTGAATTCTTTTATCAACACTGGACAAAGGTGCCACTCACCAAATCTATTTGAGCATTCTACTCACTAATACCTGAAAAAATCCTGCCCTGGAGTATTAATCTTCTGGTCTAACCTCTTCATCTTTTCTCAGGTGGCTTTGGAGTGGCTAAAAACCTGAGTACTTGGGCCACCCAAGGCAAGAACTGCATCATCACCAAAGAGGTGGAGGCTGTCCTGAAGGCATTCCACGCTGCCAAAAAGCCCATCGGCCTCTGCTGCATTTCCCCGGTGCTGGCAGCCAAGATCTTCCCAGGGTGCGAGCTGACTGTGGGTCACGACACAGAGTGTGAGAAGTAAGTACCCTTGGAGTGCCGATGTGAAATAATGAACATCACAGAACCAGCAATGCCCGCCCCCAATGTACATAGCAACCTGTCCCAGCTGGATATCTGGAGTCTCGTGATGAGTTGAATGTTGTTTCTGAGAACAAATGGTCAACCTGAGCTGATAAATTAAACAACCAGAGTTTTTTATATACCCCTTGTTGCTTACATAGTCCTCTACATATATCTCCTTTTAAAATTAGAAATCTGTTTTTAATTTTTCCAGTTTCTCTAATGGGGGTATTTTACCATATTTTGGCTTTAATTCAGATTTTTTACTTGCTGTAATCTGGAGGTTTTCCTGGTTCTGTAGTCCTGGAGAAATTCCTCTGTCAGGAAAAGATCTGGATCCACTAGAGCAGGCTTCCTGTACGGACCATCCATCTCTCTGTAATCAACAGACTTCTCACTCTCAGCCTTTGTCAAATCACTCTGTGTAATGACGGCTTCCCCACACAGTATTTATTCTTCTTTATTCTTGTAGATGGCCTTACGCAAAGACTGCTGAGACCATGAAGGAGCTTGGCTGCAAGCATGTGAACAAACATGTCACTGAAATTCACGTAGATGTGAAGAACAAGCTGGTGACCACCAGCGCCTTCATGTGCAATGCCCCCATTCACGAGATCTACGATGGCATCGGAAAAATGGTCAAAGAAGTGGTCAGACTTGCCTGAACACCACAAAGCCACATCCATCCTTGCCCATGCTTCAAAGCTCCCCGTGTACCTCCACCTCACAGAACAGATAAATTAGCGACAAAAGGAAGGAACACAGTCCTGCTACTGAATAAAACCTGACTCTTTGTACACGGGCTGAATTCTGCTTTATTTTTTGCCTTTTACTCTGGAGTAGGACATGCTTTTAGAGCTACTGCCTGGCTAGTGAGTGGCGAAAACAATTCATTAAAAAAAAACCAACTTGTTTTGCCAGGATTTATCAGAACCCAGACCTGGGCATGAATATGACATTGGTGAAAGGAGAATCAAACCAATGTTAGCATCCAGGTCTGATGGGAAGAGGTTAAACTCTTCCCTTGTATTAACAGAAGGCCTGCTAGGATAGCATGGAGTATTTTGGAAGCAGCCTTCCGTACTGCTCCTAGGCAGAAAGAGTCCAGGGTGAGGTCTAGGCATCCCAGAGAAAGCAGTGCCATTCCCAGGCCCTTCCACTCTCTAGGAAAATTCCTGGAAACAACCTGGAAGCAGTAATTCTGCATTGCAACAGGGACAGACATGATACCCATCCAGCAACGGCAAACTCTGAACTGGCTGGGCGATAGCAGCGTCTGGCAAGCAGAAAGCACTGAAAATAGCCCAGTATCAGGCACAGCTGTTCAGGTAACGGGCCAGACACGGGTTTCTAAGGCCAGGCACGGGTTTCCAAGGCCAGAGGGAACCATTGGTCCATGTAATCTGACCACTCTGCAGGAGTTGCACAGCAACTTACGCTGGGCTGAAGCACGCCTGTTGTGAGGATTCAGTCTGGACCTGAAGACACTGCCATAGTATTTGATAGCTCAAACAGTTACCATCCCACCGCCAGCTGGGCTCCGGGACAAGCCCCACGGGGTGGCCGTGCCGTCTGCTGCAGCCAAGGGCTGTCCCTGTCCCTGCTGGGGCCCTGGGCATGAGGCCTGGAGAGGGGACACCTCCACTGCCCGGCCCAGTGTCTGCAGCCTTGTGACAAGCTGAACGGCACTCCTGAGAACAAATGATCCACTTCATGCATTTATTAAATTAACCTGGGCTGATAAATAATCAGAGTTTTTGATGTACCCCTTGTCACTTACGTAGTCCTCTACGTCTGTTTCCTGTTACAATTAGAAATCTGATTCTACTTTTTCCAGATGTCTGTGATGTGGGTATTTTACCATACGGGGGAGCAAGAGACCGCACGAATCGCAGAGGAACAAATCAGATTTTGAGTCAGGAAGGGAGGAAGCTGTCCTTTCCTTTCCCAGAGCAGAGAGGGAGGACACCGGGGGGACGAGTGGAACAAAAAGAAGTAACAGAAGGGCACAGGAGCTTGTTTCCTCCCAACACGAGGCAAACGCCATCCTTCGGTTACGCTCTTACCTCAGGCGGACGCCACTCCAAAGACAACTCTGCTGGAGCTGCTGCCTCTAGGGTGAAGCAGTCAGTACCTAGGGCCCCTGAGAAGACTTAACAGCTGAAACTCTTCAGGCCCCTGGAAGAATCGTTTTGTTATTTGTCAGCAGATCAGAGCGCATGCTGTGCCAGCGGATTTATTTGTATTTTGGTATACTTCTTTCCACAACTCTGATGGCTTAAAATAAGACACTTTATTTTAAATATTATATTTACAGACACTGAATATTCCTGCAAACATCCAGAGTTTTTATCAGCAGCAACGGTAACTTTCCTCTTCTTTTGCAAAGAGATTTCAAAATGTATGAACTGAAAAGCAGTAAGTTAAATTTCAGTACATACCTTTTCAGTCTAAAGAACAAACTAAAAAAGGAGGAGGGGATAATCACCATAACACAGAGTATAAAAAAGCTGATCCCTGCAAATATGTCAGACAAAGAGTTCACTGCAGCTGGGCCCAAACAACGACATTAAACCAAAAGCTTCATGTGCTGGGAAATAGAGATTTACACTATCTGGTTTTGAGTCCTCTCTTTACCAACCCATAATCATCTGACACATGGTTTTTAGTCAGAAAAGGATCTGAATACTATCACTAAATATGTGATTGGTGTATCAAAACCAAAGAGTGCAAACATTTTACCAGCACAAACAAGCAGCAACATTGCTACACGGAAACAGGTCAGCAGGTAGTAACTGTTCACAAACACAAGTTTAAGATCATCCACTTAAAAAAAAAAAAATTGACCTGTATTTTCTGCTGTCTCAAAAGAAATAAAAGACTGTAAAAAAAGTGAGGCACCTACCAAACATATAAACACATGTGCAAAAATGAATAAAATTCTGTTTCAGTAAAGGCTGGTCTTCTTCATGATCCGCAAGAATTCTTGCTCGTTCACTTCTCCGTCCCCATCTCTGTCTGCTTCATCGATCATTTCCTGAAAGACATTTGTGTTCAGAAATTAGATGCAGATTAGCCTAGGATTAGAATTATTAGATTAATTCACAATTAGAACTGTGTTTTAGTAAACTGTTTTGGAGGGGACAGTGTTAGCTCAATGTTGGACAGACTATGCTACAAAATATTTACTAAACTAGACACTAGTGTGTTTATATATATATATAAAAAAATGTATTTATCGAAAAACCTCTACAGAAAATGTTGTATTATAGGAACTGTCCTGGAAGAAACAAAGTGCTTGGAGCAGAGCTGTTCCTTTTACATAACTGTAACTCCATAAAACTGTATTTCTACTGACACAATTTCGACAGCCACGTATGCTTAGCCCATCTTCGTCCTCAGAATCCATTTCCCAATCACAAACTGACAGAAGGGTTTCCACTCCTGCCAGGAGAGAGGGGGCAGATTTTCCCACCTGCTCAAGTGTAAAGATCCCACAGGACGCTAGAGGACAGCACCTAAAACTGAGGGACTGCTGCCTTTACCTAAAACCTGACCCTGAGAGAGCCTTCTTCCCCCACTGAGATGGAGATTCCCATTCCTCACCCTCGCTGCTGGCTCTAGTGCTTAGCAGACCAAAGCTGAGTCAGCTCTCCAGCGAGAAGGAGAATTAGGTTGTAACTGTTTACATACATTTTAAATAAATGTAAATTTGAATCCAAGCAATACACGAACATCCTGTGACTGCCTTCCTGTTCAACGAGCACAGTAATCTGGACCTCTCCATGTTCACTAGACACAAAGGCAGACAGTGGTGATGGCTTCATGGACCAGGTACAAACCTGCAGCTCTTCATCCGTAATATTTTCTCCCAGTTCTTTGGCGACACGTTTGAGGTTTTTGAAAGAGATTTTGCCAGTTTCATCATCATCAAAGAGTCTGAAAGCTTTGAGAATCTCCTCTTTGGAATCTTTTTCAGCCTTAAAGAAGTAAGCGTAAGGTTAAGGAAAAAAAATAGTTGTTATGTTGTAGGTAACACTGAAAATGAAGTTATAAAAGACAAGCATTAGAGAGACTGAGAAACTCTCTTAAGAGCAAATTTAAAGCAGCCCAGCCAGCAGGAAGTATTTGTACAAAAGCTGAAGGCAGACAGAGACACAGCCATGCTTCCTGAACCTCAGGGGCTCAGGGAATTTTTTTCTTTCCTAGCTAGCCAGATGTCTTTGGGATTTCAGTATTAGGATCTTCCACTATTAAATATCTGTTTTTACTCAACATGTTTTAAGATTTTTAAAACCAGAGATTTAATCTGTAAGTATTTTAAAACTCAAGAAAATACAAAGCATTGCTGCAGTCATCCATGTCATGTGTCAATACTGCTGACAGCTTTCTGCAGGCCAGAGCTGGTTTTTAATCTGTGATAAACATCTTGATTTCAGTTTTTTCCTTTTCTTACACACACACACACAAAACTGATTGTTAAATAAACTTTTTAATAACGTCATTACTTCAAGCTTACCTTGAAAAATTAGATCGGGTAGTCCCTGTCTTGCAATTCTAACTTTTACATCTTTTGTTAAGATTAAGACAGTGCTTTCATCTTCCAGGCAAACCAAAAGGGGATGAAAGGTACTCAGCCATTTTCAAAATTGCTTTCACTTTGACTTGTAAAAGGCACGTACCATTTTCTGTGTCATCACTACCAAGAAGTCACTGAAGTGGATTTTTCCTGTTCCTTCCTTATCAATATCTGATATCATTTTCTTGATCTCTTCTTTTTTAGGTTCAAACCCTAGTGCTCTCATGACTACCTGGGAGGACAAAAAAACCCATTATAAATAATACAAAACTATAAACAAAACCCAGGGGGGCCAGGGGGAGGCTGAACTTTAAGCCACATCATGTTAAAATACGCATTCTGTGTCTCAAGGAAAACAGCAAGGTAAGGGGCAGACTTAGAGCAATGCTTCTTTGCACACAAGGGGACATCAAGATGCAGAAAACATGAATGCAACTATTCGTATTCTGGAACTGCTGTTCAGTTGATTCTGAAATTTCTTAAACACATTCTTACCATCGCATCCACGACCCCCAGCTCAGATCTGGCAAGAATTGGGAGGGAGTCTTGGGAGAAACATTTTCTCTGTGAAAATTTGGATTTTTTTATAAAGACTTAGCATACCTATTTTAGTATCTACATTTTAAAATTCTTGTGATGGTCACTCAGCATAAAAGAGTCCCACTTCGATTAATATTTTGAAGGAAAAGTTCCAAACTGTCACACTGTGCTATGGATAGCAATTTCCAAGGCTACTGGAAAACCAAATGTTATTCCATTCCTGTGAAGGGAAATGCTACTAGTATTCCCTTTGCAATGAGAAACAAGACACTGAATAATAATAATTTTAAAAGCTTATTTCAGGCCCTGTTGTAAGCAAGATAGCTAAATGGAAGACCCAGAAATGTCTCAACAAAACACCTTCAAGACAAGTGACTCCATGAAAGAAGTTTCCATCACACCTGTGACTCTACCCAACTCTAACAACCCGACCTGATGGCACACAGATGGAAAGTCTCATGCTGGTAGTCCACGGGGAACTTAAACCAGTTAATTTTTCATTCCAGTGACAAAATCTTTTTCAAGGAATGTTGGGAAAACACAATTTAAACCCTTTGCGTGCCTTGTGACCACATCTCCATAAGCAGCATTTCCAAGGATGCCTTCACTGGCAGACAGGTGCATGCACACCTACGTGCTTTCCTTTTTCCTCCTTTGATACAGGGACAAGCAGCAGGTTTGAAAACAGTTCTCCTCCCTGTGAGCTTAAGCAATAGGGACACCCAGCTCACAAACAGAAGGGCAAATTCTGAAAGCAAAAGAAATCCTAATTTATTGATTACTATTCTTCCCAAAGGACAGGGGTGGGGAGGGACCAAAAACATTTTGCAATAGATAAAAGCATGAAAATTAATAGTTGGTGTACTCCCTTGCAAAGCATGCAACCCTCAACAAGACGAAAGAAGGGAAACACTTGCACCTTTCAAACATGCACAAACCCTTTTTGATGTTTTGCTGACAGAGAAGGAGACAGTACAGAACATACACAACTGTCAAGGTATTTCGGCCAGGCCAGCCCTAAAGACACCCAACACAGAAGTAAAGAGACAGAATTCAAAAGAAAAATGCACCTGTCGACAATGAGGTGGAAAAAAAAACTCTCCTTTCCTGCTTAAGGCCATCTAGGCTGGTCGACAGCCAGCTGAACATGAGCCAGCAGTGTGCCCAGGTGGCCAAGAAGGCCAACAGCATCCTGGCCTGCATCAGCAATAGTGTGGCCAGCAGGACTGGGGCAGGGATTGTGCCCCTGGACTGGGCACTGGTGAGGCCGCACCTTGAATCCTGGGGTCAGTGTTGGGCCCCTCCCCACAAGAAGGACATTGAGGGGCTGGAGCAGGTCCAGAGAAGGGCAACGGAGCTGGGGAAGGGTCTGGAGCACAGGGCTGACGAGGAGCGGCTGAGGGAGCTGGGGGGTTCAGTCTGGAGAAGAGGA